AAGGATCAAAACATATTTTTATTCTTTAAAGTTTATGAAGATAAAAAGCTTTAAGGAGACTTTTTTATGTCTTAAGTATGTATACCTAAACAGGCAAATACAAACAAAATTAACAAGTATAAAAGAATGTGTATTAATGTTAAAATTGTCCCTGCAGGTTTACAAGGAGTAAATGTATCTCTTTTAAGCAATATGGTATCCGAAAAACTAGCGAGGTAATATGTATATGTTTGATTTCAATTTTGGATCAGTTGACAGAAGAAACATGTGACATTGTCACTTTTGTGTCCTTAAGTAATCTAGAGAGTAATCACTTTAAAGTTTGCAGTTGTTTAGGAAATAGCCTTGCCATGTTGCTGGGTTCTTTTAAATATAAATTTATTTATTTATAAATGTATGTATGTGTTGGTGTATCTTTTAATTTTGTTTTGTGAACGTGTGTAAGTGGGCTGATTTGTTGTTGGGTATCAGTCAGTCAATGAGAGCCGGTGGTGCTCTCTAATGTACACAAAAATTCCGAAAAAAAAACAAGAAAAACTTTATGTTAGAAACTGTTATGTTGCTTGGAATACATACGAACACATGCATACCTACATACATTTATTTTCGTTCTCATTTTCAAAGTCTATTTTTAGGGATACAAGTAATTTGTTGTTGTTGTTTATTTTTTGTATATATGGATTATTATGGGAGCCTCCAACTTGTTTGTTTGGGAGGATGTTCATTATGTATGTAGATAAGTGTGTGTGTGTTTATGTTTCTATGTTTATGTGTAGGTGTGTGTGTATGTTGATTTTGTGTGGGCGGCTCTATTGTTGTGTAGTCGTTGTTGCTGCAGGTTGTTGGTATTTTTTTCATTATTGAAGGTTGTAAGTGTCAATGCGTGCTCATTCATACATTCATGCTCACATCTATAGACAAACTTAAATGTAGAAGAACAATTTCAACATCTAAACGTTTTACACTTGTCCACGCATTATACAACTCTGCTTGCATACAAGTTTACAAATACATATACTAATTATTATAGACACACTTTCAAAACATAGATATTGCAATAGAGCAAAATATCTTAAGTCGATTTAAGTCATATAACATATATTAGTCTCAAACAAATTAAGATTTTTTTTTTAATTTAAAATACATTTTGTTAAAGTCTTAAATGCCCCCCAAATATTTGACTATAATTTGTGACTTAAGCTGTTTTTGTATAATGCCATAGAAGTAGTAGAGGGACACATTTATGTTTTTGTAAGAGGAGCAGTTGCATTTGATTATAATTAAAATTTTATATGTATATAAAAAGTGTTGCTGTTTGCATTACCATAAGAATAATATTCAAAATTAATTAAAAAAGTTTTAAATAAAATGCGTAAATGTGAATAATAATGTAAATCAAGGAAACAATATTAAATTTTCGTTAAATGCCTAACATGGTTTTCTGAATCTTAATTGAAAATGAATTGTAACTGAAGAAGTTCTTATTGGGGACCTAAGGTCAACTATGAATAGATTTTCAAATATTTTCATAGATTTTCTTTAAACTCAACTTTTGGAAAAGAAACTTTTACGACCAAAATGAAACAGAAAATCATAATGAATTTTCATGACTTAATGTTGGAATAAAATATGAAGACTCTAGTGCACAACATGTGTACACATTAAGCGTTTTATCCACTGGGCGGACTTTAAACGAAAACTAAAGAGGTTTTTAATGACTATTAGCGTGCCAAAATCATGCCACTCACCATATTGAAACCCTCTGACTGCTGAAGTTCTTTTAAGTGACAGTCAGAACATGAAAGAAATACCATTTGCTGCAATACATTCCTCAACCAAAGTCGCTCTGCCTCTGCTCTGTGCTGGCAGAGCTGAGGAGGCTGCTGTTGATTTCTACAAATGCTCCATATGATTCCTGAAGAGTCTTCAACAATAACCAGAACACTACAATCCTGTGGTCAGTTGCTAGTGAAGAACTCCTCCAGTTTTAAACCATACCAATCGTGGGGCACTGGCAAAGTCTTTTTACCCCGGGATTGTTATAAAGATAAGCTGTGGGAAGTACACCATGGTAATATGCTCTGGCGGAGCACTTAGAGACATATTTTGTAGTTCGAAATATGCCACAAATATGCCCATGCAAAGATCGTAGATCCCAAACCTTCACTTTTCCACTGACTATTGTATTCCGGAACTGTTCATAACGAGAGATTTCCTGATTATTTTAAACTCCCACCTTTAAATGCTGTTGGTCTTCATGTTTACACAAATGGATCATGGGCATTTTCATTGAGGAATTTGGAACCAAAATCACCTTTAGACTCAATGATGCGTGTACTATCTTACAAGCTGAAATTTCGGCGATAAAAATGGCATCAAAATTGGAAAAGTTAAAAAAATATGTGTATGAGGATGACTTAGGAAAGATTGAAAGGGATAAAACTAAAGCCAACATATCTAAGTATCCGAACCAAGAAAAAAATTAAGAATATGTATTGTGGTTTTAATTTGAGGCCGCCTCAAAAAAAAGTGGCGTATGGTCCCCCTTCTACCCTACTGATAGTCAAGCAGCTATTAAATCCCTGATCGGTGTATATTCTACATCAAGACTTGTCCAAGAAGGCGTCTCTCAATGAGATGGCGAGACATTTAACAATTACTCTTGTTTGGGTCAAAGGACACGGGGACACAAACGGCAACAACATTGCTGATACTTTGACGAAAGCTGGGATGAGAATGGCTACTCTGAACATAGGCATAGAAGAAATACATAAATGCTACATGTTATGGTTTAGCTCAAGACCGTTGATCTCAAGAGCATACTTGCTCGATTGCAAGTACGCAGTGGCCTCGCTTGGATCTTCATAGAACATCGTTTCTAATAGGTCTCTGTAGAATGCATCTGAGTGCTTTTTTATCGTTTATCACTGGTCTCTACAAATTTTCAATATAATGACTTCTGTAGATGCTGCCAGAATGAGGATGAGAAAACAATTACTCATCTTCTGTGTAACTGCCCGGCCCAAGAAACGATTCTCTATCAAACGTTGGGGTCGTCGCATTTCTCCGATTTATCTGATCTAAATTCGTCAACATGGGTGTGAATTTAGTTTACATGAGTTTTAGCATTCTAACAATTAGAATGTTCATTTCAGCTTACTCCTGGCAGTCTGTCAAACCTAACCTATGCCCAACTATCAGTATCTTTGCTCTTTATTCTCTTCCTACGAATTGTGTTTTAGTTACAGCCTTCACCTGATCTCCAAATAACAAGAACAAGACAAGTCTTTGAAAAACTTCTTTACTTTTAAGTCCTGCCATGCCTGAGGTACTGGTAACAGTCCTTTAACCCGGGAAAGAACAAAATGTCCTTCAATCACAGCTACTACTTGATTTACCTTTACCAATGGATTCATTTCCCAGGTACGAGATGAAGAAATCTGTTTAAAAACGAGCTCATGAAACCTTAGCCAGTGGTAACCAGAGATACAAGCCAATGCAAATTGTACCGCAACAGTGGCTAAAATGTCGCAATATCTTTTCTTTAACTAATGAAAGTTTTATAAATTAGATCAAAATAGTTTCATCGGTGCTAATTTTATAGTGTTGCCAGCTACGAAGGTATTAGCCCTGCCAATCCTGAGGCATTGGAGACGTCTTTTTTCCTTGGGGATTGTAAGAAAATTGTATACTTTCGGATTGTAAGTGCCGAAAGTATACCAAGGTTACATACTGATGGAGCATCTAAAGACATATTTGATAGTTCCAAATATGCCACTAATCCATCTATCAGTATTTGTACTAACACGCTCATTATCTTGTTTAGAACAGAACATGACTTCAAAAAACTACTCCACTTTTAAGTTTATTCATACCTGAGGCACTGCGGGAAGGGCACCAAGGTACCTTGGAGTTTCTGTTGCACCAGATCCAAAATTTTGGTTAGCTTTGAGTATAAAACTCTCCCGTGAAACCTTAGGCAATGATAATTTATATTTACCCCGGGATTGCGGTAACATCATAACACAATTTTCACTAAACCAATATGTACCCAGAAAAACTTTTCTTTAACAGAAGAAAATTTTCCAAATTCTCAATAGGTAGGGTGTTAATTTTAAAATCGGGAGATTGAGGTTTGGATCGTTTTTAACGTAAGAGATAAATTCAATTGAAAAATTCATATAAAAAAATAATTAAAGGTTGAAAAAGTATGCTACGTATTTTGTATAATACAAAAGTTCGTTATAATAATGAAATTTTCGTTGTGATAATGAAGAAAATTTTATCTAAATGGTAAGTTATATTAAAATTAGGCCAACAGTCTAAAAATTTTCATTATTACAAAATTCCTTCACTACACAGCGCATTATGAATGTTTAAATAAAATATTAATCATACGACCAGTAGTGCATATTTTACAAACAAAAAGATTTTTGAGAATACGGGTGGTATGAGTAATATTGAATTATATTTTTCACAGACATTTTACTTTAATCAAACTTTTCAGCATATAAGACACTTTTAGGTGCCACAACCAAGCAATATCAATAAGTTTCCAAAATCTTTCAGAGAGACAATATTTTTAAAATAAATGTATAAATTGAATGATGTGAATGTGTGTGCTTTAAGTTTTCTGTGTGTTACGAGTCAAAAATAATCATATAAAGTAGTCTATTAGTTTAGTCCGATTGATGACAGTTTTCATGTTCGCTGCATCTATAAATACTCTATTAATTTGTTGTTTGTTGGTGACACTATTTCAAAAAATCCATGATAATTGAGATGATTAAAAATGGTGAATGAATTAAATGGCGTTGTGATGATGAAGTTTTCATTTATTTTTTTGTATTTATTTATTGTGATTTTAACGCATGACCTTAACGATGACAATTGATTTGATTGATTGATTGATGAATTGAACGATTGATTGAATTGATAGATTAAAAAATTTTGTGAGTGCCTTTAAATAAATCCTGTTTTGTTATGTATTTGCATACTACCTTATAGTAGACGTAGGCATTGTCCATAAGTTTGGGTTTACTTTGGTTTTGTTTTTGACGATTAAGCCCTGTTAAGCTGGGATAATTATCCTGAAGTGTATATGGGTTACGTTTTTAAACGTTAATTAAATTATTTGTTTGGTTTATGTAGCTTTTTTTTGTGATAAGTTGCAGTTCCCTACTGCTAAGGCTGCTGTAGGTTTTTGTTTTTGTTGCTGCTGCAGCAGTTGCCTTGTTTTTATTGTTATTGCAATTGCTGTAGTAGTGACCAGTTAGTTAGTTACTTTTAAAGGTCACTACTTATTAAGCTTTTTTTGTTGTCGTATGCCTATGTTTTTGTAGTAGCAGAGCAAGAGAATATGTGAGAGCGTAAGGTAGAGAGAGAGTAGTTTAGTTTAGAGTGTGTGTGTGTGGGTTAGGTAGGCAGCCAGCCAGTCCCACGTATGAGTATTTTCTTGATTTTTTTGGTTTGTTTTTCGTAGTTTTCTTATTTTTATTTGAATTATTAATTTGAAAATTCTCTTGCTCTTTATTTAGCTGCCTCTTACTCTATACTTTTTCTTATTTAATTTTTTGTTATGCTCTCCCTGTGTTCTTGTAAGGAGAGGAGGTTTTGTTTGTTTTATTTGCTATTTATGCTCCAATATTTTTTGTCGCCTCTTCCGCTGTGTCGCTTGATTCTGATGTTTTCCTTGTTGGAGACTGTAATTCGATAGCTTGGAATCGGAGTGTGTGTGTGTGTAGGAATGTGTTTTTCTTAATATGATGTTTCCTGGTAATTATCTTTTGCTATTGTTTTCTATCCCTCTTAGTTGGTTGGTTTTGTTGTCTTATTATGGCTTTTTGGTCATAAATTTATAATGTTATGATGTTTGATTTGGTCTGGTGTTTAACGTTCTACTTCTACTTCCACTTAGAAGTGTGGAATAGAAATGGTTATGTATGTCTTGTCTGTCTGTCTGTCCTTTTGACAGACTGTCAGTTAGTTTGTAGGTCTGTTTTAACAATTTTGTTTTCTGTAGAACTTCTTTCTTGTCTTGAAGTCTTAGAAGCTGAAGAAATCTTATATATGTATGTTCGTATCTTATTATTGTTGTTGTTATTTTTTTATTATTAATTTTCGTTGTATTTGCTGTTTTTTTCTTCTAAATATATTTTTTTTTGTATATTTTACATGGACTTTTGTCCCGTTTTCGTTGTATTTATTTTGTGTGTGTGTGTGATGTTTAAGTTGTATTTAGCTTTTGGCTTTGCTTTGCCTTTTGGCTGGCTGGTTGTTTGCTTGATTTGTATTTGTTGTTTTGAAATTATTGATTTTATTTTATTTTTGCATAGAACACAAATTGTTATTTTGCACCTTTTTTTAATTTTATTAAAATATTTTCTTTTTTTCTAATTTTTTTTCTATAATTATTTTGAATAATTAATTGAAAATAATACTTTTGTTTGCCACTCAATTTAATTGCTTTTATTTGTTTCGTGTGTGTTGTGTAAAGGCACCAGGGGAATCAAAAATTATGTGTATATCCTTTTAAAAGGATGTATTTCTTTTTGTAACAATTGCTTTGAGTTGTCGTTTCTATTTTGCCTCAAACAAACTTGAAATTTTTTTCTTTAACACATTTTTAGCACTTTCTTAAACGCGCCGCCGTCTTGCTTTTTTTTCTACTTTTACATTTTTTAAGAACAAATTTTCTTGGAATTTCTTTGCTAAATTTTAATTATTAGAATTTTTTTCTTAAATATTTTGTGTCCAATAGTAAAGCTATTTTTAGTATAAACGATTTTATTTTATTCTTTTCTATTTCTTTTTTTGGTATTTTTTTATATTGAAATATTTGTATTTGAACGACACACACTCTCGCGCGTTGCTTCGTTTCGTGTTTCAAAACCTTAAACGTTGCTTATACAACTGCCCTTACATACGTAGCTTGAATGCTCGTTAGGCCTTCAAAAGTGCATTCCAATGCAAGAAAAAGCTTTGCTAAAGCTTCTTTTTAACTCTCCAAGTGCATATGTAAGTGTTTTATTGTATTTGCATTTGTATATGTTTGCTAAAGCTTTTTTGTTTGCTCTCTCACTCTCTGTTTGCATAGGGTTCTTTCGTAGTGCTATTTCCTCTCTGTGCGTGTGAAAGCTTTTTAAGGGTTTACATTAAAGCTGTTGAAAGTATTGATTTCTTTTGTTGGTAAACTAAAACGTACTACATCTATTATGTGTGTGTGTGTTTTTGTGCTTTAATGCTTCATTCCAACAATAGATGATGTTACGCGGAACATTAACGTCTTGTTGTTGTTGTTTTTCTTTCTGTTAATTCTTTATATCCTTGTTCTCGTTTAACGACATTTAATATTGTTTTTGTTATTTTTTTCGCCAGCTCCTCTGGTGTGCTTTTAAAAAAATACTACAGCAAAGGACTATTATAACATAGACAGAATGTTGGCGCTAGGCGTTATGCGTTGAAGATAATTTTTTTTGAAATAATTTAAGAAAATTTTCTTAATTTAAAGATCATTTTAAATTTTGTATGCTAGAAGAGCTTTTTCATATTTAATTTTAAGTTCAATTTAAGTTATATGACCATAACCTAAAATAACTTGAGAGAGACTTCATAATATTATTGTTGTTTAATTTTAACGCAATGCAGCATGATATTCCAGACTAAGCGGCTCCGGTTGGTAATAATAAAACTCCACCATGTAATTTTAGCTTAGTACATTAGAATTGTCTTTAAGTAATAAATATTTTTTTGTTTAATTTTGCTTAAAGTTTTACTTGAATACAAAATTTTACTCAATTTTACTCGTATGTAGTATATTACCTACATTTGTAAGTAGGAAATGATTGTTTACAAAACTTTTTTACATACAAAAAGGTGGGTAAACAATGCAGCTTTTGTTTTTGATGAATATAAAATGTTAATAATATTTTTTTGTGTGATATTTGTGTGATATTAATGCAAAAGTCCAGGTGTCAAACCGGCAAAAACAAAGTAAATTTCCACATAAAAGTAGGTGGACGTTTTAACATGTCAGAAATGGGTGACATTATATTGATATTAGCGGAGCTAACAAACAATATTCGAAGTATGCATTCAGTATAAATTTAAGGTTAAATCCCCAACATATTAAATTTTATATGTATTTCCATTTTCAATAGAAAAAATTCTTGGTCTTAGTCCTACTATGTCAAATTGGCTTTATAAAAGTGTAATTAGACCAATTCTAGCTTATACTTCATTAATCTGGTGGACTGCTTTAGACAAAAAGTGTAATATCAAACTACTACAAGGAGTTCAGCGTACATGCTGCTTGGGTATAAGTGGTGCCATGTGTACTACTTCAATCAAGGCTCTGGAAACGTTGCTAGATATTCCACCCATTGTAACATATATAAGATATGAGGCGGCGCTTACAGCCGAACGGCTCTTTACTTTAGGCGAACTGGCCAAAAACGGTTATAGGAAACGTCATCAATGTATACTGGACACATTGGAAGGTTATACACATTCATTGGACGTGCCTGATCGCATACCAGACACTGAATATGTCGGAAACTTTGAAACGCTAATCCCAGATAGAATGTCTTGGTCAAGCGGAACAGTAGGAATCCGTTGTTACACGGATGGCTCTAAACTGGGGGAAAAAGTGGGGCTGGGGTTCTATATTGAAGACCCAGAAACAGAAATATACCACCATTTACCATCATAACACAAGCTTCCAGGCAGAAGTACGAGCAATAACGGAATGCGTAAATTGGATTAGAATAAATATGGCGTCTACAGCGCTAAATATATTTACCGACAGCCAGAAGGCAATTAGGACGATATCAGGTGATAGAACTAAATCTAAGACCGTATTAGATTATAAGAAAGCTTTAACTGAATACTCTCCCAGAGGTATGGTTTACATCATATGGGTATCTGGCCACTCGGGAGTAGTCGGCAACGAAAGGGCGAATGTAATAGCTTTAAAGGGAAGGGAGCCCTTAAGGGCTCTTGGAATATTGCAAACAATCCGTTGCCAATAGTGAGCTTACCACGTTTGTTAACATTTAGACAACGTATGTGTAAAAAATTTAGATTTCGACAACGAATTGTTGCAATGTTTACAACGTTGCGACATAGTGTTGTCGTACGTATGTATATACTTTGACAACGGTTGTTATTGAAAAATTACAAACTCTTTGGTGCCAATTTGGTACCAAGCGTGTATATTTCTTTTTCCCTCTGTGTAGTTCTTTTTAAATGATGACCTCTTAATGGCAAATGTGCGATATGTATTGCAATAAATCTCTGAGTGTGAGTATGTTATAATAGTGATGCCCATGCATCAAGCAATTTCCCAATTTAAAGCGATTTTTTTCTTTTTTGGATTTTAAGCTCTGTGTGAAAATACTTGTAGTACGTTTATATACATATATACTGTGACTTTTAAACTTTTAATAAATTTGAAACATTTAAGCTAAAATTACGGAAATTGTTCATTAAACTCAAGTAATTGAAATGGAAAAAATGGAGAAAAAAAAAAAACAGAACTGACCGTACAGCAGTTGGCATAAATGTCTATTTTGTGTGCCAAAAAAAGAGGAACAACAACAACACGAAAAGAACAAAAAAAATCTTTAAGATTAACTTTTATTTAATGTTCAAAGGATTAAATAGAATTTGATAGTAGAGCAGTAAAATGGAAAGTTATCTAGGTTTATGGATCATTGGACGAAATTGACAAGAAGTTGGATTATAAAACGTTCATCTCATTTTATTTTATTTTGCTGCTGCTTTCTTTTTTTCTTTCTTTCTTTTTTCACTCATATTCTCATTATTAAAATGTATATATTTCTTTATTCTTGTAGTTTACTAAAAGACAATAACAACACTTCGGGTAATTAAAATCTACATTAAAGTAAATACAAAAGATGTAGGAAGTGCAAATATTTGCGGTTCATTAGAGACGATAAGAAAAAAGATTAAATCTATAGTTAATGAAATTTAAATCAGAAAGAGAGAGAGAGTTTAATGGCTTTTACTAGTTTTAGTTACTTTTGAGCTTGAGTTTTTCATATATACCCCTACATGAATTTAAAATATGTTATATTATACCCTACACTACTGTACTGGGGAGGGTAATATGCGTTTATGCTAATGTTTGTAACATTCAAAAAATATTGGTTCTACACTCATTTTAAAGTATACCAATCGGCTTAGAATCGCTTTTGAGTCGATTTAGCTCTGTCCGTCCGTCCGTCTGTATGTCTGTCTGTCTGTCTGTCTGTCTGTCTGTCTGTCTGTCTGTCTGTCTGTCTGTCTGTCCGTATGTATGTCTGTCTGTCTGTCTGTTCATGTAAACTTTGTGTGCACTCAATATTTCGCAATTTTCAAGATAATTTGATGAAACCCAAAAACGAAGCCTATTAATTGTTAAAATCGGTACATTTTTCCGTATAGTCCACATAGAACCGTACTCCCCGAATAGAACTTTTGAGCTTATAAATATGTTAAATGTTCTTGTATGACTCCAAAAATCGGCAAAAATACATCTTAATGATAATGCTGATTTTCGTTTGATTTAATCGGGACTCATTAGACCCTATCTCCCATACAAAATGATTTCAAAATTGTTTAAATACTAATATCACGATGATATTCTGCATAAATAATTTTAATGTAGACGTAAATCCTAAGGTACCATTTAGAGTCTTTAAACACTAAACTTCGTCTATATTTGGCAATAAACTTTTTAAATGTTTCTTAAAAATAAAATTTTTTTCAGCAAACTTTTTACATATTAATGCAAGAAACAATTCAAGAGGGATTTACTACGAAAATGCATTTGTACAAAAAGTCTAAAACATATAAACAAAACAATTAATAGTTTGACATTTCTTAAGTAAAAAAAAAAAAACAAACCAAAATAAGTATGAACAAAATAGAATACAGAAAATGAACTTAAAATTGAGATTATTTTCAAAACACAATAGGCACAAGAGGTTATAATAACCTAGTTTATACTCTAACGATTTTACTTTTAGGAAAACAAAATGTTAAATTACTTTTTTACACATGTACTCGAACACTAAACTTGCATCCATCTTTACTAAACCAATTTTTAGTTGTCAATGTCTTAGATATTTTTTTCAATAGATTTTAATTGTTTTTATTTTATTGAAAATTTGTGTATGTTGTACATTAAGGTGGTCCCCGTTTGTATGGGGAAAAAATAAGGTGCTGTTGTCCATCTCACAATTAAAATGTTTGGTACCTTTTCATATCATTAAATAAAAGAGATATTCTTATTTAGTCAGAACCCTACATGTTCAAAATTTGAAGAACGAAAAGGTACCAAACAGTTCTCTATTAAAGAATCTCATTCAGTGTTTGCTCAATAATCTTTTGTTTTGGCTTATAAAACAAACATAAAAAGTACTATTTGAAGAAGAAAAAAGTACCAAAAAGCTCAATTTCAAGAAAATATAAAAAGTACAATTTGATGAACGTAAAAGAACCAAAAGTTTCCCTTTTTCTTATTCCATTGTTAAAATTCCAAAAAATGCTATTGGAACGATAAAACAGTGCTGTAAATTTCTTCTTTATGAAAAGTACTAAAAAAAGGATTACCAATCAGCATTAGCTTAATAAATACAACTCAAATATTTGTATTGACCACGCCCACTTTCAACTATTATCATTAAAGTTGTAAACATTAAACGAATTTACTAAATAATTAACAGAATAATAGCGAAAAGTGGGCGAAATGTTTGGTTGTGGGCATGGTTATCATAAAAATTATATTAGATCATAAT